AAGGGACGAAACGTTGTAATAAATATGGCAACAAAGATGAGGACAATAGTCCGAATAATGTAAATAGTGTACATAACACCTCATCTCAGAAATATAGACAGATACTGAAGGGACGAAACGTTGTAATAAATATGGCAACAAAGATGAGGAAAATAATCCGAATAATGTAAATAGTGTACATAACACCTCATCTCAGAAATATAGACAGATACTGAAGGGACGAAACGTTGTAATAAATATGGCAACAAAGATGAGGACAATAATCCGAATAATGTAGATAGTGTACATAACACCTCATCTCAGAAATATAGACAGATACTGAAGGGACGAAACGTTGTAATAAATATGGCAACAAAGATGAGGACAATAGTCCGAATAATGTAAATAGTGTACATAACACCTCATCTCAGAAATATAGACAGATACTGAAGGGACGAAACGTTGTAATAAATATGTCAACAATGATGAGGACAATAATCCGAATAATGTAAATAGTGTACATAACACCTCATCTCAGAAATATAGACAGATACTGAAGGGACGAAACGTTGTAATAAATATGGCAACAAAGATGAGGACAATAGTCCGAATAATGTAAATAGTGTACAGAACACCTCATCTCAGAAATATAGACAGATACTGAAGGGACGACACCTTGTGATAAATATGGCAACAAAGATGAGGACAATAATCCGAATAATGTAAATAGTGTACATAACACCTCATCTCAGAAATATAGACAGATACTGAAGGGACGAAACGTTGTAATAAATATGGCAACAAAGATGAGGACAATAATGCGAATAATGTAAATAGTGTACATAACACCTCATCTCAGAAATATAGACAGATACTGAAGGGACGAAACGTTGTAATAAATATGGCAACAAAGATGAGGACAATAGTCCGAATAATGTAAATAGTGTACATAACACCTCATCTCAGAAATATAGACAGATACTGAAGGGACGAAACGTTGTAATAAATATGGCAACAAAGATGAGGACAATAGTCCGAATAATGTAAATAGTGTACATAACACCTCATCTCAGAAATATAGACAGATACTGAAGGGACGAAACGTTGTGATAAATATGGCAACAAAGATGAGGACAATAATCCGAATAATGTAAATAGTGTACATAACACCTCATCACAGAAATAATACTGAAGGGACGAAACGTTGTGATAAATATGGCAACAAAGATGAGGACAATAATCCGAATAATGTAAATAGTGTACATAACACCTCATCTCAGAAATATAGACAGATACTGAAGGGACGAAACGTTGTAATAAATATGGCAACAAAGATGAGGACAATAATCCGAATAATGTAAATAGTGTACATAACACCTCATCACAGAAATATAGACAGATACTGAAGGGACGAAACGTTGTAATAAATATGGCAACAAAGATGAGGACAATAATCCGAATAATGTAAATAGTGTACATAACACCTCATCACAGAAATATAGACAGATACTGAAGGGACGAAACGTTGTAATAAATATGGCAACAAAGATGAGGACAATAATCCGAATAATGTAAATAGTACATAACACCTCAACAGAAATATAGACAGATACTGAAGGGACGAAACGTTGTAATAAATATGGCAACAAAGATGAGGACAAAATCCGAATAATGTAAATAGTGTACATAACACCTCATCACAGAAATATAGACAGATACTGAAGGGACGAAACGTTGTAATAAATATGGCAACAAAGATAAGGACAATAATCCGAATAATGTAAATAGTGTACATAACACCTCATCACAGAAATATAGACAGATACTGAAGGGACGAAACGTTGTAATAAAATGGCAACAAAGATGAGGACAATAATCCGAATAATGTAAATAGTATACATAACACCTCATCACAGAAATATAGACAGATACTGAAGGGACGAAACGTTGTAATAAATATGGCAACAAAGATAAGGACAATAATCCGAATAATGTAAATAGTGTACATAACACCTCATCACAGAAATATAGACAGATACTGAAGGGACGAAACGTTGTAATAAATATGGCAACAAAGATGAGGACAATAATCCGAATAATGTAAATAGTATACATAACACCTCATCACAGAAATATAGACAGATACTGAAGGGACGAAACGTTGTAATAAATATGGCAACAAAGATGAGGACAATAGTCCGAATAATGTAAATAGTGTACAGAACACCTCATCACAGAAATATAGACAGATACTGAAGGGACGAAACGTTGTAATAAATATGGCAACAAAGATGAGGACAATAATCCGAATAATGTAAATAGTGTACATAACACCTCATCACAGAAATATAGACAGATACTGAAGGGACGAAACGTTGTAATAAATATGGCAACAAAGATAAGGACAATAATCCGAATAATGTAAATAGTGTACATAACACCTCATCACAGAAATATAGACAGATACTGAAGGGACGAAACGTTGTAATAAATATGGCAACAAAGATGAGGACAATAATCCGAATAATGTAAATAGTATACATAACACCTCATCTCAGAAATATAGACAGATACTGAAGGGACGAAACGTTGTAATAAATATGGCAACAAAGATGAGGACAATTGTCCGAATAATGTAAATAGTGTACATAACACCTCATCTCAGAAATATAGACAGATACTGAAGGGACGAAACCTTGTGATAAATATGGCAACAAAGATGAGGACAATAATCCGAATAATGTAAATAGTGTACATAACACCTCATCTCAGAAATATAGACAGATACTGAAGGGACGAAACGTTGTAATAAATATGGCAACAAAGATGAGGACAATAATCCGAATAATGTAAATAGTGTGCATAATACCTCATCTCAGAAATATAGACAGGAATTAAATTGCGTATCAAAGAACGTTGTAGATAAATGCCTCACCCAACGTTAGCAACTACACCTTTCTCGGAATTTACTTGCAATAAATAAATTTTAAGCAAGGCATTCTGGAAAAGATAGTAAATATTATCAGCAATATCCGTGGCAGTTCTGTTGAAGGAATATATCAGGATAACTTCCGTCTTTTCGTTTGGCCTAAAAAATTCTTCGGTTACAGGAAAATCGGTTTTGTACCTGTCGCGATTGTTTTGCGCCTAATTCAAAGTTCTCTTTGAGTTTAGCGTGAAAGAAAAATTCTTGAAACGCAACAGACGCTTAACACGAGTGGCCGCAAGAATGGTACACCTGGATTTCTATATACGTGTTTCTCACGGAAAAAGGATGCGAGCTCAATTGAACCTGAAAAGTTAAGAGGACGAAGAAGAAAATGGAGAAACAGTTTATTGACGGAAAATGAAGGAATCTCTTCTTCTTTTTCTTTTCGTTTCTTTTTTTTTTTTTTTTTTCGTTCAAGGCTACTTAATGAGTGAAAAGCAAAATAAAAAAAAGAGACGGTGAAAAGAAAGAAAGAAAGAAAGAAAGAAAGAAAGAAAGAAAGAAAGAAAAACATGCAGTGAGAGACGAGAAAAGAGGACGAAAAAGAAAGTAAAGGAAAAAATGCAGAGAAAATGAGAAAGGAAAAGATGATGCTGATGGAAAAATCAGAAACAAAAAACAAAGATGCCCGGAAAAAGATAAGGAAAAAAAGAATATGATAATGGAGGGGGTGGGGATAAAAAGAAAAGAAAAAAGACATAAAAATAATGAATAGGCATGGTAGAGAGAAGAAACAAATTAGAAAAGAGAAAATGGAAAACAATAGGAGGAGATAATATTAACGAAGAGGAAAGAAGAAAGTGACATTAATATTAACGGAGAAGAAGGCAGAAGAAGAAGATAAAGACGCGTTAATATTAACGAGAATAAAAAAAGAAACATTAATATTAATGGAGAGAGAAAAAGAAGCGTTAATATTAAAAAGAAAGAAAGAAAGAAAGAAAGAAAGAAAGAAAGAAAGAAAGAAAGAAAGAAAGAAAGAAAGAAAGAAACATTCAAATTAAAGGGAAAGGAAAACATTAATATTAACGAAAAGAAAAGAAAAAAAGAAAGGAAAAAGCGGCATTTATTAACGAGGAGAAAAGAAAAAAAGAAAGAAAAAAGATATATTAATATTAAGGAGGAGAAAATGAAAGAAAGAAAGAAAGAAAGAAAGAAAGAAAGAAAGAAAGAAAGAAAGAAAGAAGTGCGGTTAATAGCAATGAGTAGAAAAGAGAAAGAAGAAAAGAAAAGATACATTTGTCCATCTCTCAATTATTAATCACTTTCTGTTCAGTTTTCAACAATCGCTTTTGTAATGCGCAGATTTCGTGAACTTCTTCTGTTCAGGTTTCTAAAACGCATTTCCAATCATCAAATGGCAAAATTCTTGAAGCAAGAAAATTATATATAACCGTATTTAATCAGTAACGTTTGACCATTGACAATCCCTTTTATAAGGAGAGTGTTTTCCTATTGTCTTCGCCACGGTTTTTTTTAATCCGGAATAGTTCTTCTCTTAGACTGGTTACTGCCGAAGCTGAGAGAACCTAGTCTACCCTGCTATTTAATCCATAACTGAAGGATGAGAACAGATAAATGCAAGCTTTTTTCAAATGCATTTATGAAAAATTGAACAGAACACACTAGACTGGAATTTGAACTCGGCCCTTTGATTACACTTTCCGTGTTAATTTGTTTGTAAAACTTGTATTAATTCATGATCACTGACAATCTTCCTAATTTTCAATGTATAACATGCAGAGTAAATTCCAAAATTTACAACATTCGATGGTTAAATTATATTTCAATTTTACTCATGTGATAATCATTCGTTGTCGTTTGTGTAACTTTCACTGATTGTTTCGTCGTAATATCACAATTATTAGGAAATAATTACATTTTCCCTTTCCAGATAATCTAAAGCACGTGCAAAAATTTGATGATTGAAAACAATTATATGATTCTCAAAAGTTAAATTATTTGAAATCAAATGTAAGTATTTAAGGACGTTGCAATCAAAGCGAATATTAGTCACACGTAAAAGTCACTTATGCTTAATGTTTGTGATATTCTTATTTGCCATACCAATATATACGAAATCATTCTTCTTCTTCTTCTTCTTCTTCTTCTTCTTCTTCTTCTTCTTCTGTGTGCCGTGTCCCTTCAGGACATTGGCGATCATAGCCCTTCACAATTTCCAGTCTTTTGTAGCTACTTTTTGTTATCTCTTTTAAACCATTTTATTCAAGCTCGTTAGCTCGATTATGCGTTGTTTTCCTATGCCCATTTTGCCTTCAATCTGCCCGGTGAGTATCAAATTTTCCAAGCCCTCTTTCCTCGTTTTGCGCCCTAGAAATTTCAACTCTCTCTTCCTGATGTTAAGTATAAGTTTCTTTTTTGTTTCCATTTTCCTTAGAATTTTGTCGTTGTTCACATGTCTGGCCCATGGTATTCTCATCATCCTACTGTGGAACCATATTTCTGTTGTTTCGAATCTCTGAGGAGATTGCCCAGCACTTACTGCAATATAGGGTGACTGATATTACGTGACAGTACAGTTCTATTTTTTTGTTTCTAACAAAATTTTCCTGTTTCTTAATATTTTTCTTAGTTTTCGGAAGGCATATTTGGCTATCGCAAATGCGCCTTCGGATTTTAGTATCGCACTTTCCATCCTCTGTTAACACACTTGCCGATATTTAAATTTCCGTGCTGGTTTGATTTTGGTATCTCCAATATGTAACTTGCATGTTAGGCTGTCCCTTTTGCTAACAATCATGCAGCCATTAGAATGAATAAAAGTGTTGACATGTTCATTTTTGACAAGCCTTCCTTTCGTGTTATTGTGCTAGCCCCACTTTACTTTGGGAGTGACACGAATAAGAATACTTTATCAATATATAATAAAGATATTTATTTACACCTATGAATGCAATCATTCCTGTCAAACCTTGAATTGAAGGTCGTTCTCAACGGATTCTCCTCCAGTTCCTATCCCACGAACGCAGGCGTTCCTCAAGGCTCCATCCTAGGCCCCACTCTATTCCTTATCTACATAAATGACCTTCCTGACGCCGTAACTTCCCAAGTTGGCATCTACGCGGATGACACCACAATTTATTCCTGCCTCAAAAACATCTAGTCTCGCTGACAAAACTCACCTTGCCGTGCGTCTCGAAAAGGACCTCTAATCGATTGTGAACTAGGGCATGAATTGGCTGGTCAACTTCAACGCTTCGAAGACAAAACTGCTCTCTATTAATCACCACAGACAGCCTTCCCTTCCCTCCATTAGAATGTCTGACGCTCAACTTCTCGAGAGCAACTCTCTGCGGCTTCTCGGTCTCACGTTGACTGCTGACCTGAGATGGAATAAATACATCGAGTCAATTGCCTCGTCCACTGCGAGGAAAGTTGGCTCCCTGAGCCGCGCTAGGAAGTTTTTCTCCCTGGAGTCGATCCTCCAGATATACAAATCCACAATTCGCCCTTGCATGGAGTATTGCTGCTATATATGGTTTGGCGCCCCTTCTGTTTGCCTCGGGGTTCTTGATAGGCTCCAGAGGCGGATATGCAATATGGTTGGCTCTACCTTGGCGTCTCGTCTACAGTCACGTCGCCTCCCTCTGTCTGTTCTACAAATACTTTCATGTAAATTGCTCCGAGGAGCTGCATTCGCTGGTTCCCAGATGTCATAAGTTCCAGCGCCCTACGAGGCTGGCATCCCGCTCTCACCCCTTCACTGTCGAAACTCCTAAATGTAACCGTCTCTTCTACTCTAATAGCTTCATGTCTCGCACCTCTCGCCTGTGGAACTCTCTTCCCTTTTCCTGTTTCCCTGTGAGCTATAATCTCCAGCTATTCAAGTGTAATGTCAATCGACATCTCCAGTTTCCTTAATCTATCCACTACCCTCATCCTTTCTTCTATCACTCCTATCTGATCTTGCTATTTCCTGTAACCCCTTGCATCCTAGTGGCTCCCCGCCTTGCTTAGGGTGAAATGCTTAAAAAAAAAAAGAATACGACGGTTAAACACAATGTCCTTTCCTATATACAGAGAATATGTCAGGGGTCATACCCATCTGGTGAGTGCAATAGGGCTAGATAGCTTGTACTTTTAAAACCCTCGGTAACTGGTACCATTGGCGGCGGAGAGAATTTCTTGTGTTACTTCTCTGTGGTGGTCAGCTTTTTCTGAACACACGTGGTTTTATCAACCAATGAGAGACCACCTAATATCATGTGACCAATCTCTATGTAAAGCAGCAGAGGAATTTTACAAATCCAACAGTCTTGTTTACGTTAATATTTATCGTTGGTTGCACCAGCAGCGTTTATCGGCGTAACATGTGAAATCAGCGAATCAAATTCAAATATCCACCTCGTAATCATTGCGTTTAGTTTCGCATGAATCTTTCCTAGCATAAATCCATCTCTTCTACTCACCTTCACACTTCCATCCCCCTTGACCCAATGAAAGGGGCACCTAGGGGCAAACGTGATGGCGGAGATCAAGAAGTGGAAACTGCTGTAAGAAATTGGTAACACCAGCATCCCACAATGTTTTACGAAGCTGGGATACGCCGTCATTCGTAGGAGAAACACTGCCATTGACACAGGTGATGACTATATTAAGAAGTAGGGATGTGGACCTGTGATGTATAGCTATATCTTGATGTGCGATATGTTTGTTTGTGTTCCTTATTTCTAATATAATAAAACAAATTTCATTGCTTTTTGACTCACTCTCGTAGTCTCCTATATTGCAATGAATGCTGAACAGATGAAAAAAAAGACTTGAAATGACATAGACGAATAGTAAGCATATTGTTAACAAAGCATGTGAGCAACGAGGAAGACTTAGGGAAAATAGGAACTACAAAGAAATGTATACTTACAATCAGAAAGAGACGGTTATAATTACTGGCACGCATATATGAGGAAAGAAGACCCAGTCTGCCCACCCTATGTGAAGGGATTATCGGAGAAAATACAAAAGATCTGTGGTCAAGATAACATCAGGACAATCTTCAAAAATGTTTCAACACTTCGCTGACACATTTTCCGAGTAAGATCCCCCTCCATAGAGGAGAACAAGACTAAGGACTGTGTGTACGCAATCCTGTGCAGCTGTGGTACGAAATACAAAGGATAAACAGATCGCCTCTTTAAGGTAACACTCCAGGAACATCGTAAAGCGGTAACACAAGGGGAAATAGAAAAATCAGGCCTAGCTGACCCCATATAGAGGGAAAAGGAGATCACCGCCCCCCCTGTGGGATGAGGTTCAAATAAAAGACAGAGAACATCACTGGAAAACTTAAGGAATCAGCACATATACTAGGCCACAAAAATCTCCTGAGCCGACCAAGCATAGAAATGAGATCAATATGGGAACCAGTAATAAGGAGTGCTGGAGAAAAGCAATGAATAGCAACAGAAAAATTGCAATATAAGCTCTGGTAAAAAATATGCAATATTTAAGACGGAAAAATTGCAATATGAGCACTGGTAAAAAAAAAAAAAACAAAAAAAAACATGCTGAGCCATTAAGATTATAAGTCCCAGAAATTCATATGCAGATGCCCTCAAGGAAACATGGCCCAGTGGATAAAGGCCTTGACTAGACCCAAAGAGTTATGAGTTCAATAAAAACAAGTTGAGTTAAAAGCAAATAACTGAGAGAGAGAGAGAGAGAGAGAGAGACAGACAGAGAGAGAGAGAGAGAGAGGCATGGCACGTGGAACTAGAACAATCTACCCCCAGTGGACAAAATAAAGAAGAAGGTCGGAGCGTACAACGGCCGAAACGTTGTGAATGCGACAATGAAGATGAGGATAATAGTCTGAATATGTAAATAATTATAATACCTAATCTCAGAGATATAGGCAGATATTCTAAAGAACCGTTTTTCTATATACCGTGTCTCTTCAGTATATGGGTTATGGCTCTTTCCAGCTTCCTATCTTTTACGAAAATATTTAAAAAAAAAACATTAATTTTATTTTCCAAATTACGAATAATTCTTCTCCGTCAAGGAGGAAATTCTGACCGAAATTCATTTCGGAAGAAAAGTACAAAAATATAGCCCAAGATTTCGATTTTCTTAATTCATCATCAAGTTAGGTAGAGACAGTTGGTGAGTTTTGTAGAACTTGTGAATGTCGTGACGTAGGCAAAAAAAGGGTTGTGACGTAAGCGAGGTGTAACGAGTGTTTTTTTTTTTTTGTTTTTTTTCCTATCTTTGGAGCTCTTGGTAATATTTATCTTTCTATCATCCATGTCTCACCATTGTGCATCCATTCACATAAGTTCATCAATTAAGTGACACGCTGTCCTTTTTTTTATCTTCAATATGTCCTGTGAGTGTCAAATTTTCCTCAGTATGCGTCCCAGAAATTCCAACTTTCTGATTTTGAGGATAAATATCCTTTTTGCTTCATTTTTTCTTAAAACAGCCTCGTTCCCATGCTTCTCCCATGGTATTATCATTATCCTTCTGTAGAACGACATCTCTCTTACCTCAAGTCACCTCTTCATTTCTGAGAAATTAGCGATTGAAAAGCAATTCTATCATAATTCTGTACAGAGGCTTATAGTTTGGAGTCTAGTGCAATCTCACGGATAAATATATAATTACGAGACATCGTTGCGTTTGCTGGTTTCTTTCAGAGTTTATATAGCTGCCAGAAATTCAAAACAATTTTTTTTTCAGATCTTAAAATGGAGATAATCAGACATGGGTAAGTATATATGTACGTGTGTCAAAAGGAATAATGAATGTCGTGTCAGGGAGATTTACTTGTCACTAAATCTAAGGCGACACTTTATCTTACACTGAAGATCGAGAACAATTCTCGATTGGGTAAAAAAAAAAAGAAAAAAAAAAAAAAGAAGATCCATTCATGTGTTTCTAACACCTGTGGCTTCTTGCTTATTCAGTTCACAATGACAACGCCACAATATCCAGGTCAATCTATGGCCATTTAGATTTGTCGGACCTACAATAAGCTTTAGAATAACATAACCAAAAAGCGGGATATTAGAATGTTTTTTGAGAGAAATACTTTTTAAAACAAGTGACAGGCATACATTTTCACATTTATCTATACAGATCTCTCTCTCTCTCTCTCTCTCTCTCTCTCTCTCTCTCTCTCTCTCTCTATCTCTCTCGTTCTCTCCTTTTCCTTTTCTCTTTCTCTCCCTCCCTCTCTATTTTTCTCTCTCTTTCATTCTCTCTCTTTCATTATCTCTGTGCCTCTCTCTCTTTCTCACTCTCTTTCTATCTTTCATTCTCCCTCTTTTTCTTTCCTCCTCTCTCTTTCTCTCTCTTTTTAATTCTATCTCCTCTCCCACTTTCTCTCTCTTTTCATCTCTCTTTATCCCTCTCTTTCTATTTCATTCTCTCTCCCTTTCTTTATCTCTTTCTCTTTTTCATTCTCTCTCTCCCTCTTTCTCTTTATTTCTCTCTTTCATTCTCTCTCACACTCTCTATCTTTCATTATTTCTCTTTCTTTCTTTCTCTTTTTTTTTTTTTCTTTCTCTCTCTCTCTCTCTCTCTCTCTCTCTCTCTCTAGCAGTTCAGAATGAGAAATCAGCCATTCGAATTTCAGCCGAGTTCATTACTTTGACTTATGTGCAAATACCCTTGGGAAAGGTAGGAATTCATTGCCTCTCCCCACCTATGGATTAAGTATCTTTAAAAATCAGTGTTATTTCCCAAAAAAATTGTTAATGCATTACTCACTCATAAAAAGATATTTTCCCTTACAATCCAAAATATATTTCGACTTTAAATAAACCACAAAGTGCTGATAAACCGTAAAAAATAAATCAGTCAATCTCTCTCTCTCTCTCTCTCTCTCTCTCTCTCTCTCTCTCTCTCTAGTTATAATTTATATCTATATAGCTAGCTATGGATCTAGGTTTACAGACTTCCTTCATTATCATAAATTCTGTTTCTTCCTCCGTTAGTTAGTAAGTTAGCTTATGCATTACGTCTTGACATTGCATCAGATAAATAATGGACCATTCCGTTTTTGACTGCGAGGAAAGATGGAAGAATATATCAGAGACGCTGTTTGGTTTTAGCGAGGAAACGAAAGTATGCTTAATAAGAAAGAAAAGAAAGAAAAGAAAGAAAGAAAGAAAGAAAGAAAGAGATAAAGATGATAACGCCCTCATGCGTTTGCTTTAATGAAATAGAAAACTTTGTCAGTTTTTAATCTTTTTATTTGTACCCTCTTACTTCTTTAAATAATGACCTACATTCATACTTATGATTCTTATTGCAATATTTGGTTAAAATTGTTAAGCTCAGATATTTAACGGTGCAATAAGAGAATTTTCACGGGTATTTAATCGTCGTCGAATTCGCAGTGAATTTCCTCAATCCTTAAATTAAGAATTACGATTCAATTGGAAAACAGTGAAATTTCCACGGCTACAGCTTGTCCTTTATAATATATTTATGCAAATGGAGGATTAATAAAGAAAAGCAGATGAACTTTTAAGCTTGTAACGAATCTTTATTCAATGCAGTTTCACTACTGCCTATATATGAGGTTCAATCATAACTTTTATATTAGAATAGTTCCATAGGCAGACAACTACAGTTGCCTTCATTACACACACTAAATCTTTATATTTTGAGAAAGACCAAACATTATAGTTATCGAAAGCGTATAGAAATAACCAAATTGGGAGAAAAATAATATTTCGGAATTAAAAGTGGAAAAGAAAAAGGTGGTATGTCATAAAAGTCTCCTTTATTTAATCGAATTGAATCATGGTAGATTTGTTCAGCTATTTTGAGTGTGCTCGTACACAGCGAAACGTTAACAAGGAAATAAATGATTTTAAACATAGAAGTGGTTTTCACGAATTCCATCTTACATACTGTAAATAAAATGACGTGAATCTTTAATCTTGTGATGAAAATTATTTTTATAGTAGAGTAGTTTGAAGTTGCCTTCACCACCCTATCTAAAGGTGTATATTAACGAAAACATCTACTATTTTCATTCTCCAATCAAATATCTATGAAATCAAAGCAAATCTTTCATTGATACATGTACCCTTTATAGTCTTATTCATATCTATGTACACTTTATAGTCTCATTTATATCTATGTACCTTTTATAGTCTTATTCATATCTATGTACACTTTATAGTCTCATTTATATCTATGTACCTTTTATAGTCTCATTCATATCTATGTACCCTTTATAGTCCCAATCATATTTATGTACCCTTTATAGTCTTATTCATATCTCCGTACCCTTTCTTATCTTATTCATATCTCTGTACCCTTTATAGCCTTATTCATATCGATGTACCCTTTATTGTCTTATTCATATCTATGTACCCTTTATAGTTTTATTCATATCTGTACACTTTATTGTTTTATTCATATCGATGTACCCATCATTGTCTTATTCATATCACTGTACCCATTATTCTCTTATTCATATCTATGTACCCTTTATAGTCTTATTCATATGCTTGCGCCCTTTATTGTCTTATTCATATCTATGTACCCTTTATTGTCTTATTCATATCGATGTACCCATCATTGTCTTATTCATATCTATGTACCCTTTATTGTCTTATTCATATCGATGTACCCTTTATTGTCTTATTCATATCGATGTACCCTTTATAGTCTTATTCATATCGATGTACCCATTCTAGTCTTATTCATATCTATGTACCCTTTATAGTCTTATTCATATCGATGTACCCATTCTAGTCTTATTCATATCTATGTACCCTTTATAGTCTTATTCATATCTATGTACCCTTTATAGTCATTCATATCTATGTACCCTTCATTGTCTTATTCATATCTATGTACCCTTTATAGTCTTATATCTATGTACCCTTTATTGTCTTATTCATATCTATGTACCCTTTATTATCTATCCACACACACAAATGTAAGTTTGGGTGAAGGCCAACGAAAGTTTAAGATTTTTCATTTGTTGTTAGGTACGGACTTTTTTTTCTGGAAGTATATGAATTGTCCAGTGTTTTCCGGGATCTTTCGATTTCTATAATCCATTATCAAATAATGTCTTATTGTGTTTATAGGCGTGAATTGTTTTTCTTTGGGGATGTGTCGTCTTCACGCGTCGATGGCTGTTGTGTCGGTTTTTTTTCTTTTTCAAATATCAAGCCTTCAACCGTCAGTTTAAAAAAAACAAAACAAAAAAAAAAACACTCTAAAAACGATGAGCTGTCACAAAGTGATGACAGGTGAATGAAGTAAAACATTTGCCTCAATTCATGTGCTTAATGGCGAAAGAGACTTTTCAGAAACTGAAAAAGGTATTTAAACGATCGTAAAATATCATCAGAAGAAAGTGTATTGAAATTCTATGCACACTGGCTACACACGGGTGCGACAGTGAATGCTGGGCAATTTCCTCACAAATGAAACAAATTACTTGACAGAGATGTGAATCTACCAACAAATCTTGGGATTGCCATGAATAGAACATCTCAGGAACGAGGAAGTTTTATAAAGACTAGGAGCTATAAATAAATTATTGGTAGCAACGAGAAAGAAGGCTCAGAGAATTTAACACTCACAGGTCACATTGAAAGAAGAGAGTAACCCATTTGATAGGCTTTAGCGAATGGATGGAGGAAAAAATACTAACGTGATAAAGAGAAACCATCAAGGAGCATGTCCACTTAGAGCAATAGAAGATAGGAAGCTGTGGAGAAACATAATTGTTTGTGTCGCGAAGTCACTCACTATATAGAAACAGGGAACATACCTGTTAGGTTTATCCAAATAGATGACGGAACAAGTGCCACATAGACAAAGAGAAACCATAAAGAAGCAAGTATTGCTGAGAGCTAAATAACTAGGAAGCTGTGGAGAGCCATAATCGTTTATGTCCAGAAGTCACTCGCCATATAGAAACAGGGGACCTTTGCAAAAGTTCGCAGCACATGTTTTTTAAAGCTAGAGATTGGATACAAAAACGGTAGGAACCAATTTTTCGCTGGAAGCATTTCATTTGGACGCAACTTTTTTATTTGTTTTTGTGCGTACGTTTGAGTATGGGTAGAGTCTTATTTTCGGTAACAAAATTAATATGTGATTTAAATTCATAAATATTGTCTGTTTCAAAGATTTTCCTAAGGATTCTTTAAAAAGAGGAATTCAAAAATACGGGTATCGAGTGTTGATTCTCAGGTGGGCCTATCTAGCAGGGGAACTTTACATAAAAATTCAAGAAGGAAAAAGAAAGAAGTTTCTTCTAAGTAAACACCTGCAGCATTGACTTTTTGCAAGGCTTCTTTTGTTGTTGCAAGTCTCTCCTCCAGCACTACCCCATCTTTCCCTGGGTGTCCGCCAACCCCTGCCGTTCACCCTGATCTACATATCTTGTTTCTATCATTTTACCACCCCACTTACCAACACGTGCTTTTTATAACCCAGTTGTAGTGGTCGTCAAGAAAGAGGTTTTCCATTAAGCGCCTTTTGAATGTTCGTAATGTTTGTTTATTCGTTCGTTCGTTCATTTTCTCTCTCTTTCTCTCTTTCTCTCTCTCTCTCTCTCTCTCTCTCCAGTTTTCTTTTTTCCTTTCTTTCTTTTTCTCTTTCATTTACTTTCTGTTTTCTTTTTCTTTCTTTCGTTCTTTCTTTATTTTTGCTTTTACTCTCGTTTCTCTTCCTTGCTTTCTTTTTCTATTTGCTTTGATGTGGCGCTCTCTTTCATCGTTCTTTCTCTCTTTTTCTCTGCTCTTTCTCTCTATTTTCTTTCTTTTTCTCTTTTTTATTTTTCGTTCTTCCTGTTTCCTCTCTTTTCTTTCTTTTTCTGTTTTTCTTTCGTTCTTCCTTTATTTTTTCTCTCTAGTCTCTCTTGCTTTCTTTTCTCTTCTTTTTTTCTATTTTCTTTCGCTCTCTTTCCTTTTCTTTTCTCTCTCTCTCTCTACTTCTCTCTTATTGTTTTCTTTTAGTTTTACCTTTCGTTCTCTTTCCTTTTCTCTTTTTCTCCCACTCTTTTTCTATTTCCATTTCTCTCTCTCTCTCCCTCTCATTTTCTCTTTCATTGTTTTTCTGTCTTTTTTCTTTCTTTCTAAAACTTTCTCTCTTCAAAACAAAAGTAAAGAAAAAAAATATTTCGACAGTTGACTGAATTTAAAAGACACGAAATTTTAAAAAATCATCACCGCAAATAAATAATAATAATAATAATAATAATAATAATAATAATAATTATAATAATTATAATTATAATGAATTAATAATTAATAATAATAATTAAATAATAAAATACAAATAAAGTTACAATAAATTGGAAAATATGGAAATATTAATTTAGTAGCTGGAAATCAAAAATTTACACTTTTTTCTATCTACTGTGTGTGTGTGTGTGTGTTGTATTGAGTCATTCTTCCGAGACTGATTGCATAATAGGTGAGGTTTTAAAAAAAACGCTTCGCTTAATTCTTGATTTTCTCTTCCCGCGTGAGGTGTAGTTGTAGTAAGAAAGTGAATTTGTAGTCATGAACCTCACCGATCAGGTACTTTATAGAACTGCATAATGTTACACATCAAACAAAAAAATTATCATGAATGAAACTGGTGTCTGTGTAGTGTGGTGATTTTTAAAGTAAATAAATTCTCGGCCTATTTGACACTTGTTTCTTTTTTGTTTTGTTTTTTTATCTTCAGTCCGTTGCTACGACCACAAAAACCCACAACTTCATGTATACTAGTAACTAGTAAGTAAGTGTAAAAAATCATAGTAGTTGTACGTTTCCGCGATTCTTGCTACTTAAACCTTCCGACCGCCAGCCTGCTGCCCTAACTGTTGAGATCTCCATAACCGAATTGCCAGTATTTAATATTTAGGAAGGCATATTCAAAATAATAACAATGATGATAAAACAGCATTCATTTGTTACTAATAGTAAATTGTGTGGTACTAAGTCTAGCGTTTGCGAGGCGGGGAACCGAAGCGCGTTAACACGCTAGCGTGGGGCGGAGACAGGTGTCTTGTCACGTGACTTAGCTGAAGAAACTCTAAATTTCCATCTAACAACAACAACAACAACAAAGCTTGACTTTCCTCCGCGGAGTGAAGAAGCGAGAATTAATTACGTTAATAATTACATTATTTAATTATTAATCTAGGAAGCAAATTAGGAGTCTGATCAAAGATGAGAACTTCTACCTCTTCAACTGCTGATAGTACCACTTATATTTCTTGCCCAAATAAAGATTTGGACAAGAAAAAAAATGATGGTAAGTTTCCTTCTTTTTCTTTTTCTGTGTTTATTTTTTAATTCTATTTCAGATTGGGATTTAAAATTAGTTTTTTATTTTATATCTTTAGATTTTTTTATTCATTTATTTCTTTTTGTGTGTGTGTGGGGGGGGCGTTGTACACTAGTTCTTATTGTTGCTGTAGTCAATCGAAAGTAGCGTATATTTTGGTTTCTAAAAAATAAACTAAAAATCACAGAATTAACATGTGAGTCTTTGAATTACACACAGTAACAACTTTTCCATGTGTTGTTTTCGTGTTTGCAAATATATGACCAGAAACTCACTTATATTGACGATTTATTTAAGTAACATTTTTATTTTTCTCTTTCAAAAATCTTTAATTATTGATTTTTTTTTTTTTTGTTCATTACATTGTTTTTTTTTTCCTGTATTTTTATTTAGTTGCAACAATTGAAACTTGATGATTATAGCATATAGCATGATTATTTTATCATTTTACTTTGATTATTATTTTTTTAAATCCTTAAAAATAAAACTTTTGCTTTCAAGAAAAATCCGTGCTGGGAAAATAAATACTCAGACGGAACAACTTACGGACCTCGACAGCAGAAACCTAGAAATCTAATATTTCTCGAGTAAATATACAATTCAGTTATATTATTGGCAATTAATTAATTAACAGAAAAACGATCGTTTTTCCCCGATCTTAAAACGTTTTTTCAGTTATATTTGCTATGTTCGGAAAATACTGTTAATAAAAATTAATAATTTTTAAATGACAATCCAAATATTAATTCCTCAAGTTTATATTTTTCTTTCTTTCTTTTTTTTTTAACAAGTACCTGGGTGTTTTATTTCCACAACAAAACAAGGCAACATTTTTCGTTCGTCAACAAAATCCACCCACAGTAAATTTTATGTCATTTTTTTTTTTTCAATTTTTCATGCTTCATGTTTTGTTTGACGCTAAAAAAAACAAAAGGCATGAGAGATCCCCACCCTGTCTGAATAACAAAAATTGAAATTAATTTGTGATGCTCGTTTCTATTTAAAAGCGGAAGGTTTTAAAAGAAAGAACTCTTAGTGATTTCTAACCTGGATAACTGATCCATCATATCTGTTTACACAGTCATACTCCATCATCCTACCCACACTCGAGGGTCCGACTACTACTACAACTACTAAGCTACCAAAATAGTCGTTTTTTTCCCTTCTGTTTTGATTTCTATTTACATTTTCTTGTTTGGATCAGTGGTAAAAAAAAAAAAAAAAAAAAAGTTCTGATCTCTAAGTTCAGTTTTCCACATTTCTGTGATTTGAATAAGGAAGGCTGATTGACAGTCACGTACGTTTTCGGATTTTCCGATTTTACAAGCTTCTGATTCCAAATATTTAACACGCTATCTCGCATTTGTCTAATCAGTCATAAATTGAAAATTTCTTTTAAAATAGTCTTTGGTGGGAGAACGATTTAAAAAACACACGCACACACAGCAAAGTTTCGTTTGTTTAGTAAACATAAACAATAATTTTGTTTATATTGTTTAGTTTACTACTGTTTATCAGTCAAACATTCCAATATAGGTAAAAATGTAAAAATCAAAACAATAGTATTTTCTGGGAGCGAAAAGAAGTATTCTGGGGTCTGAGAAAAACAAATAAACTAAAAACAAAACATTATTGACTAAATTATGAGAAAAAGAATATATTGATGTATTTTGCGATGGACTTTTTTGTGACTTTATTTTAAACCACAGAAATATTCTTTTTTTTCTTTCGTGCGTATGTGTGTGTGTGTGTTTATGTTAAGCACTCCAGATGTTGAATATATATATAAAAAAAAAAATTCATAAAACTTTAGGAAGTCCAGTTGCCGATATAAATTAATTATAAAATTGATCTCTAGCTCCTTACGGAATCTCATACGACGTGACTTCATAAAATTTAAAAAATTTTTTATGGTGCGTGTGTGTGTGTGTGGGGGGTTAAATAATTCGTCTGGTGTGTTAAAAAAAATAAAAATTGATAAAAAACAAAAGAAGACTTCAGATTACGAATTTTAATTTTTTATTTTAATTTTTACATTTTTAAAAATAAAAAAACATATTTTGTTTTGGCTTACCCGAGGGGGAGGGGGGTAATTTTGATAATTTTAAAATTTATAATGATTTTTAGCAAACTGACCCACCCCTACCATCATTAACTTTTATAAAATTTAATATTATTATTCGTGATGTGATGATCCGAACTCCTTTTCTATCCTAGTAGAAAAAAAAAATAAAAATTGAAAAATGTGGTCGCAATGCCTTTTTTTTTTTGTGTGTGTGTGTTACTTTTCCAACTCCACCAGATTTGCTACCATTTTTGAGCTTAAAAGTGAAAGCTGTCATATCAGATACTACAACGGGTTTGAAAATTCAGTGTCTGCTCTAATAATTTAATGATGAATAAATAAAGAAACCTCAACCTTGTTTATTTTGTTACTAAAATGATTTAAAAAACATAAAAAGTCTGTCTGGTGACGAGCGATTTACCTATAAGCGCTTTTTTTTTACCTCATGTTTCTTTTATTTTTTATAAAAGAATTTTTTTAATTGGCAACTCTACTAAAATGACCCTAAATCACTTTTTGTTTGTTAACGCAAAACAACAACAATCGTTCAGAGGAAAAAAAACAAAAAAAACAATAACCACAACAAGCAAATTTTATTTTATTATAAACACACACGCACAGTTCCGTGTTTTTTTGTTGTTGTTACGTTTTTATTTTCAGTTAAAAATTACCAATTAGTACAAAAAAAAAAAAAAAAAATACACACATGTTTTGAATTATGTTTCTCATTTTTCTGCAAATTATTTCGAAGAATTTTTATTTTATTTTATATTGAGATGCTCTCAAATTACGGTTTATTATTTCAATTATACCAAATATGCGGTAGAAAGCTTTTTTTTCACCAAAACAATGATCTTTGACTGAATTCTTTTTTTTTTTTTTTTTCATGGTTAACTTAAAAAAAATAAGCATAAAAAAATGACAGTTTAGTCTTTTTTTTTTTTTTTTTTTTGTATTGAAAATTCTATTTCAAAATAATGCCACTTGTCGCCTTTCTGGTGTTGACAACTCTATCCAGATTTCTGACATTCTGGAGGCGGGAATGTCATCTGTCACGTATTTTTTTTTTTTTTTTTTTTTACCTTTGTATACCTTTTGTCATTTGACAATATTTTTAGTTTACTCTACACTACAGTTTTTGCCACCCTTATTTTATCTTATTTATTTATTAGTAACTTTTTTTCTGTTTTTAATTTCTGGATTGAGGTGCTATCATTTTTTTTTTTATTATTATTTACGTTCGGATCAATCTCCTCATCTTTGTTGTTCACAACGTTTCGGCCGTTGTTCATTTTGGCCGTCTTCAGGTGACTATCGATACGGGTAACCTTCCAAGAATTTCGAACTGAACCCTTTTCACGCCATTTACAGTGTGTATGTAGTGGGGTGATGTTCACATTCCGCTCCCCATGCCTTAATTAGCTAGGGATATCTCGTATTTGTTTTTTTACTCTTCACTGCTCAGTTATTGCTAGAGAGCTAACCTTACTGATTGAATATATCCGCACTACCCGGACCGAGAATTGAACCCTCTTACTACCAAATTCACTAACACACACCTGAATCCTCTGTCGACCATTGTCTTGGTGAATTAGTGGAAGTACGATTTAAAAAAGAAAAAGAATACATAAATAACCTAAAAAAAAAGAACAAAAAAAAAAACGCATTTCTGTTCTATAACGTTTTATTTCCCATTGAATAGCACTACCCTGTCAGTAACACTTCACTTAACCTTAATTAATTTCTGCCTACTGACAATCGTCATTTTTGCTTTTTCAGTGCATTTTTATAGCAGAATTAATTAGTATCTTTATGTTGTCTGTATACACTTATAATATTAATTAATACTTGACCACTAGCAACCCCCCCACTGACTTTTTTTTTCTTGATTTTGTTAAACAGGAATTGATAAATCATTTTCTCTACCATCAGCAGCGCAAATTAAATAATAATAACTAAACGAATGGTGAGAGAGCAGTGGTAAAAATTAATAACACTTACTTGTCAAGTCCCATAGACCCCACCCCCTGGGGAGTATGGGGGTTTGCAGCTTTCAGAACACTAGTCATTGAAGGTGTGGTTCTCATCGCAAGTAGCAGGTTTTTACTGGTTGGAGATGCCATGCCTATGCCCATTTGGTATTGAATTCAGAGTTGTTGTTCTCTTAGACTGGTTACTAACCACGGCTAAAGAATGCAGTCTGCTGTACTATTTAAGTAGATAGAAAAGAGACAGACAGAGACATTTCCCAAGCATATCTGCATGAAAGTGAATGCAATAAACTCTACTAGAATTTCTAAATTTGAGCCACTATTACTGAGAGCTTTTGCCTTTCCCACCCACTCCGATTCAAATACAATCATTTTATTTTTTCTTTAAGTAAATTAACATATTTATTTATTAAATACACGTGATTTATGAGTTATATGAAAATGAACTAAGTTAGAATTTTACCTTACATTATTGTTCACCTTATACAAGTCCCAAGAGCCAATCAAGGTAGAGGATTACTGAATGAGGTAGTTTTATACATGTAAGAGGAGGAAGTAAGGAGTGCAGATTAGTAAGATGGATAATACTTGACCCTAGAGACCCGAACAGGTTTAGATTGTAGTTGATCAGTGAAACATCCTCTTGGGCTTCTGTTCTACAAATCAGCCATACTTGGAAAGAAGTTGTCTGAATGGAACCTCCTCCTTACCAATGAAATGCAAAAGGAATGAGGATTACTCAACACTGCATATGTGACATAGTGGGTCTTAGCTGTGAAGGTCTGAACTGGTTCAACTATAGGATGTAGCTCATCAGAATGTATTCCATGGGAAATAATGACAACAAGTGAGAGGCTTGTGACGTTGCATCTGTGGGAGAGGGGCTGCAGGGTAGAAAATAAATCACAAGTCCGCATAGAACTCATGGCAAGTCTGGAAAGAGAGAATGAAGCAGCTCATATATGACAGCAATACTCCATTCTGGGGGGGGGGTCTTATCACATTGAAATCGCTTCCCATATGATCACCAAAGTTAAGACATGTTGAGCCTGGTCAGTACCTAGATGGGTGACCACTTGGGAATACCAAATGCTATAAGTGTGGGTGTGCAGGTGGTGTAATGGATAATGGATTGGAATTGTTAATCGGAGAGCCAAGTTCTAATTCCCATTGGGTTTGTTATATTCACTTACGTTCAAATCTTCTTTGGAAGCATATGAATCTTTATATTCTTCTCTAACTATGGGATAATTTGTAAAACTTGTATCTCTAAACCATTTTTATCTCCAAAAAGAATTCTTACAATTTAAAAATATGGCTTTAAATAATCAGCAAAGCTGTAGAAAATGAATGAATCAATCAATCAGACCCATTTTTTTTATCTGATCTGACTCTTATAAAGATAAAGCAAAGCAGGAGGAGTCGGATACTTTCTAGAGTGATATAATGGGATCACCCATTTTACCATCGGATTAACTTTTCATCTTGAAGAACTGAAGGATCTTGCTAGGATTATTTGTCAACATAAAACATTGAATCAACAAAACTCAAGCTGACCTCTGTTCATTTCTTACTATTTTATATGTATTTTGTATATTTCTTTAATTTTTTTTCAAATTTGATAATGGGAGGAAATAGTTTGTATTCCTTGTTTCCTTTCATTTACATACGCATTTTCTTGTCTTTTTCTTTTATACTAATGTTCACCTAATACAAGGCCCAAGAACCACTCAATACAGAGGTGAGAATATTGAATGAAAATGTTAATATGGGGATGATGCGATTTGTTTATTGTATGTCAGAATCATTACAATGATTATATAAAGTTAGAACTTTATATAATAATTATTCTTATGTGTACCAGGTGAACTCTGTCATCTCTTTGTTGGCTTTTCCATTCTGTATCCTCTATTTGATGAGCTTGTGTAAATGGATGGAGAAACAGTGTTTAGAAGTGATAACAAAAAGACAAAATTTATTAAGAGCTACAAAGGACAGGAAATTGTGGAGAGCCATGACCGCCTATATCCTAAAGGGGCACAGCACATAGAAGAATCTTCCCTATTGTGTGTAGGGAATATCAACTCAATGGAAGGAGAGGATATAAATTCATCCCTGAGTAACCTTTGTAACACACTTTTTTCTTAGTGAGTCTTTTAGTCCTCACATGTTGAACAGTTGATATGAGCATGGTGATCAGAATAAGATTAATTTTAGCCCTATGAATTGAATAAAGTGTTTGGTTAAAAATACCGATAAGCTTACTGAGTACAACAGAAATGCAAAGAAAGCCTTAGAGTACAATGGTTGACATGATAACTATGCTTGTTGAAATGAATAGGTAAATAATCATAAGACAATGAAGGTTTCCTCTTCTTGATTTCTTTTTATGTCTTAAGTTATATCAAAGAGAGAAAGAAAGAAAAAACTACCACATTGTAAATAGTAGAAAGGTGTGAGTGAGTGAGTGAGTGAGAGTGAAAGGAAGGAACTTATCTAAATGGATCAATGTATAATAGGGACAAAACCTTGTAAAGTCAGATGGAAAGAAGGCCAGAGTGCACAGTGGCTGGAACCTTGTGATAAAACAAATAATGTTGTCTAGTGAAATGGACTCATCTGTTCCCAGTGTTTTATAAGCCATGGGTTTTGTGATTACTGCCCTTGAAATGTAAATAAAGACTTGTAACACAGATACCCAGCTGCATGCCTTTTGTTTTCCAACTTTGATAGTTCCATTGTAAAACATGAAGAAAATGGCCTCAAAAAATAAATTCTACATGAGTTCTTTAATTTTCTATTTGGTGGCATTGATGTTATTTTGTTTATTTTGAAATATTACTTTGCATCTAAAATTGCCTCCCACCATTTATTGTTTCAGTGATCACCTAATTAAAACTAAGTTTACACTGCATACTTGTCTCACTAATCTGAAAAGTAATATGCTGAATTCAAGTTAAAATTTTGTAGTTTTAATGACTATAATATCATAATCTTCAATCAGTCTTGAAATGTCTTCAGTTTTGTTTTTTGCTAATTAAATCCCTTGTTTTGCTATTGAATGCAAGATGACAAGTTGACAAGAAAACTTGTTGATATTTACATTGGTTATCAATGGTCTGAATCATTTTCTAGTTTATGAGTCTGACAAATATAATCCTCTTAAAATTACATACGAGGTTGGGGTGGGGCGATGAAAACATCTTGGCGTGAACAAAATGGCGTTCAGATATTTGCTAATATTTTGGGAACTTGGTCAAGTTGATAACATTTCAACACTCCTTTACAGAACTAACTGGAAACATGTGTGTTGCATCTTCTCACCCTTTGTCAGTATCTTCCTATTCTTTCCCTTATTCCTTCCAATCATCATTGCGTGTACACGTTTTGATCTGAACGTTACTAAAACATTGATTAGTTTCATATGCAAGAAAAGAAATAGAACAATTCTTGAATAGTTTCTATTGTATCCTCTCTTTTATCATTCTTTTGCTCTATCTCTCCATATTAATGGAAATTAATTTATTGCAATTTAGTCTTTCTGATTCTATCACTGTTTGTTTTTCAATCTTTCATTGGTTCTATTTTGATATCCAGTTAGTGTTTCACTCTGCCATCTTTTGTTCCTCTCTCTCTCTCTACACACACACACACACACATATACATATATATATATATATATATATATAATATTCCAATACAATTTTAAGGTATGCTATATTTATGGGTGCTCACTATCAAGGATAGAGACAATCTGTTTCATGCTTAAACATAATCTTCAGGCCATCTGAAAATGACCTGAAGATTAAGTTTCAGCTTGCTGTTGACCTGTAGGTATTTTATTATTATAAATAAATAAATATAAAATAATAATAATAATAATGAAAATTATAAATAAAGTAAAACAATAACATAAATACGTTGTATAAAATAAAATAAATAAAATTAAAAATAATAAAAAAAATACTCCCAGCATGCAACAAAAACTGTTCCTGCTGGAAATATGGACATCCTGCCAAAAGATGTTAAATTCAATCTCTTTGCCCCAAAACCTTGGTACAGGCAACACGTGAACTACTTTTCTCAGTGATATGGCTTGTAATACTATGGAGTAAATTCTCTCTTTTTATCACTTGTACCATTTAAACAATTTTAAGCTAAAAAACACACACACACCAAAACATACAAAAATATAAATAAATTTTATGAAATTAACATACAATTTACCATGCTTTTCCTGTTACTTTTGTACGTTTTATTTCCTGTGAAGTATGTTTTTATCTCCATGAGCACATAGCTAATTTCTGCTGCTGTGATATAAGTGACAATCCCACAAACCTCAATGTCAACTTATATGCTTGAGTTTCATGGTATTTGTTCTGCCTTTGGTCATTTAGACATTGAGCACTCTCTTTTACTGTTTAGGTAGGTGTCTTTCTTTGACTCTTTTTTTCAGTTTGTTTTCTTTTACATTTTTAGCTTTGATTTTATTTGGTCACTTGGCACTTTGTGTTGGTTTTACCAATACTTTGGTTTGTTATATATATATATATATATATATATATATATATATATATATATATATATATATATATATATATATAACATAAATTCCCAAGAGGATAGAATCCAGGTAGAACTTAATGTCCAGGACAGAGTAAGAATATAATATAAAAGGCTCAAACACTAATATTCTATGGTTATAATTTATTACATTGGAATCATAATCACAATCCAAATCATCAGACCTACAAATATATATATATATATTTGTGATTTATGTATGTATATATATATATATATATATATATATATATATATATATAAATCACATCACCTGGCTTTCTTTTTTTCCAATCTTTCTGCCTTTTTTCTCCTTTTGCCTTTTCCCTACATGCTTACAGAAGAAAAAAAAAGCATTGTTTCTCATGCAGAAAAGCTGGTATTCAAATACAGACACTATACGGTGATCCTAGAAAGAAAAGCATAGTTGATGTACATAAAAACAAAATAGTATAGATTATATAAGAATTTTAGTGTTTTGGAGCATTTACTTATTGATTAACCCCTACTTAGTTTGAAAAAAATGTTACAGACAATGAACAGTCAGCAAAGAACAAATCCTACTATGGCAATGTTGTTAACCATTTCACTACAGGAAGCACCCTATTCCAAACTCTCTGTATGCTCAACACACTGTAACTTTATCAATATTTATTCACTAATTAAATACAAGATTAAATCAATGATTTTTCTTTTTTTTTTTCTTTCTTTCTTGTAAATCGAAAAATACATACACATTTTGTGTGAAAGCCACTGATAAAAGAAAACATTAAGAAAACGTTTTTTTACTTAATGGTGATTAAAGCAATGGAAAATTGTGTTTTTCTAAAAATTATTCTTTGTATCTGGTTCAGAACACAAGTGTGGAATATAAAAATCAATTATTTATATTTTAAATTGGTTATGTTTGTCCTATTTGTTAATAGAAAATTTACATGCAACTCTTTGTGATGTAAGCAAGTTTGTTAATGCCCATGATAAAATCTATTTGCTTTGATAGCCATGACACTTTTATTTAGTGAATATTTGGCTGTATTAGTCATGTTTTGGTTGTTCTATCTTCTTGAATTTTTTCAGGTACCTCTTGTATTCAGTAATGTTTTTGAAATTTTGAGTTGAACACTTTATTCAATCAATAGAGAATACTATTCTCATTCTGCTGTCCATGCTAAGGGACTTAACTCATATTAGTTAATTTTTCTATTATTTTGTCCATTTTATTGTTAAACACTTCAGCATGGTGTAATGGTTAACAAGCTTGTCTTGCTAGATCAATTCTGACTGAGTAGTGAGTTCAATACTCACTGGGTGCTCCACACTTTCAGCCTTGTGTCACATGTATGCTATGCTTAGAAAATTGCCATTTTGTTATCATTAAACCAACATTTCAGCCATTGTGATTTTCAGCCTTCTTTATGTGTCTGTCTGTTCAGGTAATTTTTATGGAATTTCGAACTGAATGTTTTATTTCAATCTATTGGGGTAGATTGTTCTTGTTTACATGTCTATATCTGGGGATTTCTCATTTTGT